CTCGCCCACCTTTCCGGTCATCAGTCTCAGTTCGGAGCACTCCGAAGGAGCAAAACCACGGTGATCGACATCAGATCTCGCTAGACGGGAGCGACACCTTCTCCACCCTCACTAAAAAGCCTGGTTACGTGCATTCGACCACGCGCGCACAGAGCAGCATTCGATATAATATTCCAGCTCTCCTCGCTTTTTGGTCCACATCTCGCTCCCGGCTCCCGCTGCGGCGTTGTCGTGAACCGCCGTCGTTCCGCCAAGATGGGCTGGACCTACAACACAGATGCCGATGCGCCTACCATAGGCCACCAGATCACGGGCGTTGCCATCGCCCTTACCATTCTCTCCTTAATCACTGTTTGTCTGCGAACCTACGTGCGAGCCTTTATTCTCAAGGCTATCGGGTTCGATGACTGGGTCATCATCCTCACATGGGTCGCGGCGGCTGGTTTTGCGGTCGTGACAATCGTTCGTGAGTAACTTTGAAATCCACAAAGATTTATCTCGTCTTGCTCTAACAAGTGAATACAGAGACAAAATGGGGCTTAGGATTGGTAGATATGGAAGATTTTCCATCCCAAAATCTGCACAATTTCAATATCGTAAGTGCCTATTCTTGTTGACATTGGACGGAAGCCTGGTAACTAACACTTTTGACTCGCAGCTTCAATATATCGGCGCCCCTTTGTTAGTTCAAACCCCCGTCTTTCCAGCTTATACCTGATATCCCAAAAGTGCTGACCTGAACACAGTTATATCTCGAGTATTTTCGGCTTCAAGCTCGCCTTGCTCACCTCATACCTTCGTTTTATTCCCAAGGGCGGTTACTGGTACACCACCGTGGGCGTCATTATCTCTTGCTTCATGTTTCATCTGTCGTTCTTGCTGGTCCAGCTGAACCTTTGCCAACCCGTGGCACGACAATGGGATTATAGCATCCCCGGCACATGTCTTAAGGGAGTGCCGTTCTATACTAGCATGGCGTCGCTAACGATGGTTTTCGATATTATCGCGTAAGTTGAAATCCAAATCTATCTCTCATCGCGCGCTAATCAGTTCGGCCTTGCTGCAGTATGCTTCTCCCATTCCCAGTTCTCCTCAAATCCCAAATCCAGACGCGAAAAAAGGTCGTTCTGCTTGGAATGTTCGGATTCGGCCTCTTCATCACCGTTATCCAGATTATCCGCATCCAGACGGTCAAGCGCCTCGAAAACCCCATCGACTCCGCTCCTTTGATTCTTTGGTCGACCGTCGAGAACAACCTCGGCATCATCGTCACGAACGTCCCGACTCTGGCGCCCCTAATCAAGTACTTCAACGAGAGATCGAGATCAGGCGGTACCTCAAGCCGAACCCGTGGGACAGGATATCCGAACGAGATAGGGTCGCGCTACGCCCTTCAGACGTGGAGGACGGGCAAGAGCAAGGGGCGCGAGAAGTTGGACAGCATGACCGACATGGATGGCGGAAGCGTTGAAGGCGGCGTCGAGGGCCATGCGAGCAAGGGCGCCAATAACAGCACCGAGTTTATTCTGGATGGCTGTATTAACAAGAAGACCGAGGTGATTATTTCGCGAGAATAGCGGATGGGTTCTTTTTCTGCGCATACAACAACACAAAATTCACAAATTTCCGAGAAGCAAAAAACGATACGAGGACGATTTCATACGTTGTAATGTTCGAAAATGTGTACACATATTTGGGGGTTTCTGGATACCAAAACGAACGATGTCTAGGGGATTTAATGAGCATGAACGTTTGGGATGATTAGAGGTGTGCGTTAGACCAGCCAGTGATACCTATCTTCCTTCTTTCTGTCAAGAATATCAACAAAAACCAAATTTTGCCATCCATCCATCACCCTAAAGCCGAGCCGGGCTCTCTAACCCTTACGTCTATTCTGTATTAGGTTTTTCGATATCCTCAAGTTCTGTGTCAACTCACTCACCTCCGCCGCCAAGACCCGTCAACCTCCCCTTCATTGTCTCAACTACGTTCGGATACAATACCCATGATGGCCCTCAGCTCACCGACAAGCCGACAACACTACCCACGGACGGTACTTGAAACCTACCTAGGCTTCTTCCAACGTAGGATTTGAATGTCTCAAGAACCTTCTACTTGTAAGCAACCTCAAATGCCGTGTCAGGTGTTCAAACGTACGATTTTTTGCGTCAAACGTCTCAACAACGAACGGATACACTACCGCTTTTACTCAGTCGTAAGAGATTTACCAAAGGCGCTAGCTAGGAAGATGAGAGGATCCCATTGGACTGATTCCTCATATGCAGCTAATCCCGCCGTGCATATGCTTCCTTCTCACCAAAACTGCCAGGTTCAGTAAATCTCTTACGACTGGGTAAAAGCGGTACCCATGATGACACTCAGCTCATGTGCACCGAAAACACACCACCCACGGTACTTGAAATCTCGGCTTTTTTCGAAGGTAGGATTGGAAGGTTCTAAAAACTTTCTAATTCCCTTACCCATGGCCATTATTCAATCATCCATCCATTCACCCATCCCGCTTGTTCATCACTGGTCATCTCCCGTTTCTTCAAATTTCCTTTTCGGTTCCCCAGTTCCTTCTTTCCTCGGCTTGCAACTTGAAGTCTCCACATTCAATCAACTCTGTTACCGTTGCAACGCCGTAATTTTGCCTAGACCTCACAGACACACTGGAGTGGAAAACGGGGACATCAGCCCAGAAAACTCGCCAACTCCTCAGTTGGGTGGATTTGGCGAGTTTTCTGGGCTGATGATGGTATCGATCGATGGTGAGGCGTTCCATCGTTCGGTGGATCCGGACAGTTAACCGACGGGACAGGACAACCGAATTAGGTAGTAATGAGCATACGGCGCCTCAGTGGTGAAGTGGGTAGCCAATTCCGGAGGTGATGCACTGACGCGGGAAAGAAGTCCTACAAAAAAAAAAAGATGGGTACACAATGGTCGGCTTGTGGGTGAGCTCTGGCCTCGAAGAGGGTTGAACGGAATAGTTACGTCCCGAGGAATCTCTGTCGTCCCTTCCTTCCTGTTCACCAACCCACCGCAGTCGATCGACTTGATCCACAGCAGGGGCACTTACACACACAAACAAACATCACAAGAAAAAAGACAGGGTACACTCATGTTCTGTTTCACTGTGTAAGCAGGACACACGCGTGACACGCGAGAGACAGGATCAAGAAGGATCAACATCCCCCAGATTTTCCGGAGTTGCAGATTTCGGTTGACCTTCGGACCCTTTGGTGGTATTGAAGAACTGGCTCAGGTCCGACCTCGGCATGGCCTATGTACCGGCAAAACCAAATACGGAAGAAAACAAAAACAAAAGAAGGTGGGAGGAAAGCACGACAACTTCTCAGCGTCCCCTCGGCACTTCACCCAAGTACCGGTAGTAGTACATACTGGTCCCGGTCCATCGGGTCGGTATCGGCTGCAGCTAAGTACCGACATCTGTCTCATTCACTTTCTCTCCCTCTCGTCTTCTAGAAGAAAACGAACTTGAGTCCTGAGTCTAGTCTAACCCACAAGGCCGGCATGGGTAACGTCTCAAATCGTAAGTTTTGTCGTAAGTTTTGTACTGCGTAGTATAGGAGAGTGGGGATGGGTGAAAAAGCCACCCTATATCCACGGGTACTTACATAGATGGAACTTCCCGTCCCCCGACTTGCCTACACAAGCGAACGAACGAACGAACGATCGCGAACAAATGAAGGGATCGGGGACTGAGTGTCGACCGAAACTCGGGCTCAGGGAGATTCGTGGAATCGTGGGGGGGGCCCGAGGTTCTTGTAGGTAAAGGGTAGGGGGTGTAAGTGTAAGTGGATTAGTGGACCAATCATATCCGATGGGAGAATCTAACTTCGTTGGTGATGATGCCCCGAGATTCATTCTTCCAGGGGCTCTTCTTCACACGTGTTGGAGTGTCTTGAAGAATGCCTCTGCCTACGTAGACGATGCGAAATGAGGTGTGGAGCAGAGAGAGAAGGATGGAAGGAATGTTGATTTTATGCTGGGTAACTTGCAGTGGTAGATATAACATAGGGGAGTCTTTGTGGGCTTGTCTGAAGAAAAGAACGGATGAAAGCGATGGGGCTTTGGAGATCGTCTCAATCATGTTGAAAAGGCGTGGAGAGGGCAAAACAAGAAAATGGAAGAAGGGAAAGCATCTCAAGGAACGCAAACTGGGTGAGAGGGTGGGTGGTTCGAATTAGCAGCTCGAAGTGACTCGACTTGGGCGACTCCGAAGGACAACAACTGAAGTGGAAGTAACACTAGTCACTTCTTGTTGAGTTCAGGTACCTCAAGGTGAAAGGATGAGAAGAAGATCAAAAAGAAAGCGGGAGGAAAAGTGAAGAGACAGGGAGAGAGGAGAGAAAAGTCATGACGTGGAGTGACTGCCATCTCGCACCCCAAAAGGAAGCCTCCTGATGTTGGCTCCTTCCAAATGTACGATGTTCAATTTTAGAAGGAGTAGCAGCACCGCACCTTCTTCCAGGTCAAGTACTAGGTACAACTCCATTTTTGAATCCTCTGCATTCTACACACGCCTCGCCGATTTTGTCTTTCTGAAACCTAACCACCCATGATACAAACTTCCCAGACCCCAACTATCTCCGGCTTTCATTCCGGAACCAATGTCGCCGAGAACAAATGCTTTCAATCAGCAGCGAGCCAAGCTTCTCCCTAATACGTTCGTTCATCTGCTTTTTTCTTTTCATACCTCCCTTTGAAGATTACTTCACCCACAGATACACACACCGATTTTTTTTGGGTTCACTCCTAAAGACAGACTGCCGCTCTCCGCTTCTATACATACCCCATCCAATCAATCAATCCACCCACCCAAACTGTATTAGAATCTCTGCTTCTTCTTCTCCTTCTTCTCAAATCTTCATTGCTTTTCGACTCCTGTGTGTTCTGCCGAATTCCCCCTCTGTTTGTAATCAATATTAACCATTATATGTCTGTTATCTTTTTTTTTTTGGCTCCTTTATGCAAATGCGTCCCTCCAATTCTCCGCGTCCAGCCAGAATCATATTATTTAAGTCCACTTAGAGAAATCAACCGACTCAATAAGTGCGTCCGCTCCATGAGCTGGGAACATAACCTCCGTATCCGGCGTGGTAGTCGACAGCATCGAAGACCGGTGCGACGTCGGGTCCGCCGCGCTATTATTCGTAAAGAACGTAGCCACACTAGACCTGCGCAAGCTCGTAAAGCTGTCCCTCACGGCGTTTACCGGTCTCGATGCCCCGATATCCTGTCCGAGCAATGACTGTTGCGTTATGCCACCTTGACCACCGGAAGCCAGAGGGGAAGTCACAGACAAACCCAGTCCGCCGCCGCCTCCGCCAAGCATGTTAGGCGGCGGAGACGAGTTTGGCTGCTGCTGAGCTGACTTTGTACCATAGCGCTCGCGCAGTCGGTTGATCTCTCGCAGTCGGTTGCGCCAAGATGAAACGTGTTCACCAACCTCCCTGGTGGCCCAGATTTGCGAAAAGACCGAGGCGTTGAGTGCGAGCAGGCGAACAAATGTTGGAAGCGCCGTGAGACTGACCACCTTGGGCTCGGCGGCCGGCGAGATCTCCGGGAAGCCTGGCTGGCTCATGACCTGCACCACGTAGAAGGGCGTAGAGGCCTTCCTGCCCTCCTCCTCTCGCTGCTTTGCCATCAGTCTTGCCGAAGCAAACGAGTGACGTGGAGTCGGCGTGATCACGATGTACACGTAGTTGAACTGAGAAGGGAAGGTGTCGAACTTGAATGGCAACCCAGAATCGTTAAAAACGATGTTCACAAAGTCGTTCCCTATGTGCCGCTTCTTGGCCGTGCACCGGGGGTCGCGTTCCAGGTCTGTAGGCATCTGCGTGATCACATGGAATATGATCTCCGACACTCTGTCACGCCAGCAATACGTGTATTCGCCGTCCGTGCCGTATTCCCGGTCCAGTCCCTGGGTGTTGAAGTTCGCCCCCTTAAGCCGCGTCAAGACGCCAAGGCCATCGAGGAATTCGTGGTAGTCAGGTCCGCCGATAGTATTGGCTAGTATCTCAACTTCATCCGTCTGCCCTTCACCGATGTAGATCACTCCAACCTTGTGTCCATCGACGGCCGAGTTTCTGTCAAACAGACGAATGGCCCGATCGATTGCTTCTTCGTCCGGCAAGGGAACTGGACGTGCTGCTGGGTCAGACATCTGCGGCATCGGAGCCAAGAGCTGCAGGAAGACATGGCTGGGGAGCAGAGTTGTACCCATTTGGAAACGTCCATCCCAGGCTGCATCGTCCGAGCTATCTGCAGCGCGCTGAGCCGTCATCGGTGTGAACTCAACACGAACTGCGTAGGACGATGTTCCTGAAGGGTAGCGCCTTGTGATCTCAGCCCAGCCCGACTCCTTGGCTTGTTTGACCGTGACGATGCTGTTTCCAATAATCCATCGTTTTTGTTGAATCTCACCAAAGTTCTCCCTGTTGAACAAAGGATCATGCGCCGAATCGCTTGCATCCGAGAATGCCACACGCTGCATGAAATCGAGAGTAATCTGTGCTTGCTCCTCGTTACTGGCGCTACCATCAACATCGGTAAACAAGTTTTTGGCAATCCAGCTTATATGGCCAAGACGATCGGGCATCTTGACTGCCAAGAACCAGAACGTGATGACATGATACGCAAGCGCGTACACGTATTGGGGAAGATCATCCGTAATGGCCTGCTGGGCAAGAAAGTCCGGACTACCGGATACAACGATGTTGGGCGTTGAAGGCTCGCTCATGTGCGTCGTGCTACGAGCGTGGTGCTTCTTGTCCCGGACATATTGAAGATACCGAAAGCAAATGCCAAAGACGACGCGGTAGTCTTCGTCTCGGAAGTTTGAATAAAGAGCAGGCAAGCGACTGAGACAAGCCAGAAATTCGAGCAAATGCATCGCCACAAAAGGTTGGGTGATGACTTGTGACATTCTTGTGAGAATCATGTCAAGTGATTTGCTCACGGATAAGGGTAGCTCGTAACAGCAGATCGATAAGCCGTGTATACAAGTCTTTGCCGTCTTGTCGGCAATGCCATGCAGGAAGGCTCTCACGATTTCATCCTCATCAAGCTTCTGGAAGTGTTGATGGTAGCTGACGAGCATGGTGAGCGAGTGGAACAGGCAGTTGGCGACATCTGGACGTCGTAGACCTGACACAAGTGGTGGCTCTTGAAAACGGTTGGTCCGGATTACCTCGCAGATGTGTCCTCGAAGTTCTTGCAACTGTGGGATGGCGTCCTGGAATATTGGGTGATCACTGAGCTGTGCCGGTAAATGCGCAATGATAAAGCTATAAATCTCCCAATCGGATCCCTGATGGAAGATGTTGAGCAGAGTATTCAACCAAGAGCTCATCTTCAAAACCGCGTTCGAGGCTTCCGTGGATGCCTCACCATCCGCGCCCTCGGTATACGAAAAGAGGAGATGGCTTGGCGTACTCCGAGGAGTCTCTGGTAAGGCCTCTGGATCGGGCAGGGACCATAATCGCTGTCCTTGGTATGGTATTTGCCTAGGCTGCTGCAAAGGTCTGATAGGCCCGGACCTCTCCACTGTCTGTCCCGGCATATATGATGCACCCCGAATCGGTGGTCGAGGGGACCCGGTTTGATCTAGCCTTCCAAGACGGGGTGGATGAGCTGCGTCTTCGGCTGCCTTACGCGCAAACGACGCATCGGTTCTGTAAAGACTAGCAGCAATGCTTTCATTTTCGACATGAGGAGTGACGTAAACGCGATACTCAAAATCCGCTCTGAGGCGAAACAAGAGCTTCATCGCCGTTAAGCGAGCATCCGTTTCACAGGTGGTTGAGCCTGCGATATGGATGAGGGTATTGAACGTTTTGACCGCTTTCGATGCATCAACATCCATTGATCTCATGAATATCCGGACGTACCCTTTCGTCACGACGTTGGGTAAAGATGGACCGCCAACCTCGACGGGCTGATCGGAGATCTGTTGCGTACCGCTAGACTTTTGGACCGCTGTAGAGGGGGTTGGCTCATCTACCTCTTTGCAGACTATATTTTTGAAAGTGTCCAAGATGAAGTCGAACTGCTCTGCTCCAGCTGTCTCGGCGACCCTTACCATAAACGTGACAGTTTCCTGTAGGACAACTGCGTCGGTCTCCACGGACATGCCGGATAGTACTCGCTTGACGAGATCAAAGATACTCTCCTCTTCTACAAGATCCCGTACAAGGCAGAGGAAATCGTATATTTCGATGACCATCGCAAGAGCCTGTATGCGAGTAGGCGCAGAGCGACCCCGATCAAGATAGATGCCTTCCAAGACAAGCTCAAGGTTCTTCTTCCAGTCGACTTCGGATGGATAACAGCTGCGAAATTCTTTAAGATGATCAAGCAAAAGTGCCGCAGCAGAATCCGGTAGGACACGGTGCACCTCGGCAAGAAATCTCATGCACTCGTCCCGCTGGAAGAAATCGGGTTTCTCTTCTGTCAGCAGCTTTTCGACGCGATTGATGAAGGTTCTGAGCTGATAGTTGATATTATCCCCACTCTCATGATCGTCTTTCGGAGCGGATGGTTGCGGAATCGACGGATCAACATCTTTCAGGACTGCCGGGACGCTCTTAGCGGCACACTGAGCAGCCACGGAAAAGATTGGTGACCAGTGCTCTTCGGCGATGAGAGGATTGATGATTCCGTCGCCATCGTCGAACAGAGAGTTGACCAGCCTCAGGATTTCAGTGGAGACCCTAGAGGAACTGCTCGTGCAGACGTTGGCCAGTCCGTCAACTAGCAGCGCCAATGGAACACCTGGATAGCCTTTTTCGGCGGATTTTCCAAGGAGCTTCTTCAAGACCGTAAGCGCACCCCTGATATCCCGAATCACGTCCCTATCCCTTTCTTTGTCAGGAGCAGCCGGAGCATTGCGTAATACGTCCAACAGAATCCTTACGGTGGATTGACCGTGATGCGACCTGCAAATATTGGAGAGCGTATGCCACGCATCCTTTTGCCGGCTGGGAACCAAGCAATGGATGGAGCTCAGGACCTGAATGCAATCTTTCAGTTTCCCATTGGGGATCGAGCCAAAGGTGACCATGGCATCAATGACGCTGATGCAAGCCGCCAGATCATCCTCTTGACTTGTCTTGTTACATATTTCTAGCAGGTTGTCCATCAATCGACCAACGACAGCATCCGAAGCGTACTTGAAGTTGAACTTGATGACATCTCTGATGAGGGCGAATAAGCGCGAGAAACTTTGGTCCTCGACTGTCACTAGCGTCTTTCCCTTGGCCGATTTGTTGGCCCTCCTGGCAAGTCTGGCAGCATCGAAGGTATTGGCAAGCCACACAGTCAACAAGGGGAAAATGTCGTAGTAGAAGCCTGCGACGTTTCGGCCGCGGTTGGTGAGATATTCTAATGCTTCCAGCTGCAGATGGAAGTCGTCGAGGTGGGCGGTTTGTGCAGTCAGAGTCCGGAAGTATTCTCTCCGTTCGAAATCCGTGGCAGATGTGTTTTTGACGCACTCGGTCAGCAGTCTCCATCCAGCAACCCGAGCGTTCTCTGGATTGTCACCATCGATTAGGTCCTTTGCGGCATTCCATACCTCCATGATCTGATCCTGTACATTAGTAACGGCGTCTACGCCATGAGCAGGTCGGGGCTCTGCTTACGGGATTCAAAGGGAATTCGGTAATCGCATAGCGAAGAGCATTTGCTGCAGCGATGCGGTCGTTCAACTGCCCCGTCTTCAACCGCGCAAAGTGCTCCATGTGCTGCTGGGGGAGGCCACGCAAGACGGACGTGACGGGCAAGGCATCGGAGCGATCGCGAGAGGGCTGAGAAGCAACAGTCGTCACGGTGGCCATGGGCGGTTGTAGAGGGGGCGGTGGCTTGGTTAGCTTTCCGCCAGCCAACCCCTTGAAGACGCTGGCGAGCGCTCCAGAGGCACTCTTGGTCGTCTCCGGGTGGGGGACATCATCTCCAGGCGAGGGGGACATGGGCTCCTGGTCGTCGGGGGTCCTGTGGCCGTTGGTGTGCCTTACAGAAGCTAATCGGCGCAACATGTCAGCGATGGGTAGGACATGGAGGTTGTAGTTGAAGTTAAGTGATTCGGTGCAGTCCAGAGAAGCAGACTAGATCTTATCTAGAAGCTGTTGCGAGACGCGCCAAGAACGGGGGACAAGTGGCAGCGGGTTTAGTGAGCGGTAGCCCTGCAGGAACTTGCAGGAGCCGCATGCAGGTCGAGCAGGCCAAGCAGGTCCGGGAGCGACTGGGTACGCGGCAAGGGGTGGAATTATGTACGGAGCGGTACCGATGTGAAGGCTGAAGACTGATGGAGCGGAACAAGAGAAAGTCATGGGATGCCCCATGGGAGAATGTGTGGTGATGTTGGTGATGGTGAGGTTGACCTGGTGACCGGTAGGGCTGTGGTAGAAGAGGGTGGGCATCCCCAACAAGAAGCAGGAAAGGGGCGAGAAGTGGGATGTTGGGGGAGAGATAGATGGAGATGAGGTGTAGGTAGGTAGGTAGTATAGGATTGTCGATGTGAGGTAGATGAAGGGAGAGGATCAAGAGAAGAGAGCCTTGAAAAAAAGAAGACCCCGGTCTTGTGTTGCGTGAAGTGACTTTTTTGGCGGGAGTGGTTGCCCAGGGTCGTATGGAGGTGACGGGGGGAGGGGGGAAGGAGGAGGAGGATGGAAACACGACGGGAGTGCCATGAGAGTTTCCTTACCAGGTGGTCGACTGCTACCTGCATGAAGTGGTGCCAATCGCAGGATGGGACGAGACGGCAGGGCAGGCCGGGTACCTCAACGGCCAGCCAGCCAGCTAGGCAGATTGGAGGCCGGGGTGCGATTAAGTGATCGAGACGTGCGCCCTTGTTGACGATGGGCAAACTTGAACCGAATCGAGTCGGGTCAGTACCGTGTACGCAGTACCTGGAGGTGGTAGGGGGTTCGGACGATCGGACAGTTGATGAGTCGGTTGGGCGGTCGCGGTTGGTCGAAGCTTCGTGGCTGCAGTTCGTCCCAGATGCCAGATGCGTACGCCGTACGGACGATGACCTGGAGTGCTTGATGATGGGCAGTTGTAGCTGGCTGACGGGAGTTGATATGGATGACACTTGAAGCCCAACACCTGCACAATGTCTTGGTGGGCAACAACTGTAATGAAGTGACCCAACACTTGTGTGAGAGTCCCGCCTTTTTTCAGCCTCTAGCTTCCACTTTGGTTGATAGTAACTCTTGATAGTAAGATAAGGTAATGGGTACCAGCCACGGCCTGATGTTGGGTCTCAGGACTGAAAAAAGACGCAATCACCCAACAGTGGGCTCTTGTTGCGCATTCGCTGCACAGGGCCCAAATCGCTGTCGCTGCTGTCTCGACGGCGGTCGGTGAGCGATCATGAATGTCGAGCTGGACGGGATCTGAAGTGTTGATCAGATGGAACTGAAGTGAAAGTCAAAAGTCACAAAAAAGGAGAGAGACCTCCACGACGACTAGAATGAGCTGGGGCGGATTCCGGGGGTTGCTTGTAAAGGAAGAAGAAAGTCTGTTTGCGCACGTCAGTCATTGGCTGCCCCACTGATAGCGCGCGTGGGATGATGCTTCAAGCTTCTGAGGCTTCCCCGTCTTCAGATCCAAGATGAGGTGCCGTCCCGACCACAGCTGCTCGCGCCATAGGACGGTTCGTGCCAGTTTACAGATTGAGCTACATGTGTGGAGAAGTTAGCAGTCAAGTACCAGTACCTTCCTTGTGCTTAACACTTGAAGGGTCAGAGGCTCTAACAAGAGCGGGAGACGGGGGAGCTTCTGCTTTCTGATGTCACAGTTTGAAATCACGGTCTGCATCACTTTTTCACGTTGCTTAGTTGATGGTGGCTCCCGGTGGTTTTTGAGAATGGCATAACTGCATAATCAGCCGGACTTTAACAAAATGTCACTGATTCTTGAAGGTTCAGATCACTACATCTCTAACAGCCTTTCCTCCCGTTCCAGAAAGTGCAATGGTTGTGATGAAAGCTTCAAAGTTTCATTGAAAAGCGACGGGAATGTTAACGCGACCCCACCTCCACACTGCCGTCTGATTGGCCAAAGCTTAAAGAGAAAAAAGAGCTAATCCGCTAATGTAGCAAGCGTGTCCACCCTCCGGCGCAGGGCAACCGGGACCAGCCCCACCTGCAAGACGTCGTGGGCTTCTTTTGAGTTCCAGTTCCAGAGGTTCAGTTCCAGTTCTTGCCGTTCGTCAACTGTCGTGGTCGTCGCGCTCCACGTTTTGTTTTTCTGTACCTAGACTTCAATTGCTGCCTGTGTTGACTTTCCAAGCGTCCTCGTCAACATCCAATCCTCATCTCCCCGAACGAAGTCGCCAACAACACAAGACTTCAACAAACTCGAATCTTCTTGCGACCGCCACAAATTCTTGCTCAGGCCGACGTCCACTTTCCGCATCTGCAAGCCGAGACCGCGTCACGATCCCTCCTCCATCTGTCCCTCCCTCGATACAATATCATAACAAACAACACCACCACCAAGAACCACACACAGAGCGCTCGCCCACCATGGCAGCCAATCTCGACCACCTCGCACAACTGCTTCAGGCGACTCTTGACGCGCGACACCACCGCAAAGGTAAGCAGCCAACCCTGCACCCCGACTCGACTACAGTCACCGCAAAGCCCCAGGGGAAAGCTTTAGCTCCAGGGCTTCAAGCGCGCATCGACTTGCTGACTTCTATTTCCTCGCAGCCGAGACCGCCTTGAAGGAAGAGGCAAAGAAGCCCAAATACTCGCTATCCCTCCTTAGCATTGTGGCCAACGAAGCTCAACCGAGCAACATTCGCCTTGCCGCTGCCCTCGCTTTCAAGAACTTCATCCGCCACAACTACGTCGACGAGGAGGGCAACTACAAACTTCCCCAAGATGAGGTCGCCACCATCAAGCAGGAGCTCGTTGGTCTCATGATTTCCTCTCCCCCTACGATACAGACCCAGCTCGGAGAAGCCATCAGCATCATTGCCGATTCCGATTTCTGGGAGCGCTGGGACACCTTGACCCAGGACCTTGTTAGCCGCCTGTCCACCACCGATCCCAAGGTCACAAACGGCGTCTTGGAAGTAGCACACTCCATCTTTGCCCGCTGGCGTCCGCTCTTTTCCTCAAACGCTCTCAACATCGAAGTAAACCATGTTGTCAACACGTTTGGCGACTCCTTTATCCAAATGCTGGGCGTTGCCGACCAACAGATTGAAGCAAACAAGACCAACGAGAAGGCACTGAAGGGCTGGCTTGAGACCATGAGTCTCTTGACAAGGATCTTCTTTGACCTTTCATGCCAGGATTTGCCCCCCATCATCGAGACGAACCTACAGCCCATTACCATGGTCCTTCACAAATACCTGAGCTACGCAAACCCCCTGTTTGACGACGAGGAGGACGAGGCGACACCGATCGAGATTCTCAAATCCGATATTTGCGACGCCCTGCACCTTTATGTGACGAAATACGACGACGACTTCGGTGGTTATGTACAGGAGTTCACAAGTAACGTGTGGAACGTCTTGTCCAGTGTTGGCCCCCAGAAGCGCTACGACGTCCTTGTCAGCAAGGCGCTCCACTTCCTTACGGCTGTCGCCTCCGTCCACCGCCATGCCCAAATTTTCAACAACGAGGAGATCCTGGGTACCATTGTTGAGAAGGTTATTCTTCCCAACGTGACACTCAGAGAGTCTGACATTGAGCTTTTCGAAGACGAGCCTATTGAGTTCATCCGTCGTGATCTTGAGGGTTCAGATACCGATTCGCGAAGGAAGGCGGCTACTGACTTCCTGAGAAAGCTCCTCGACGACTTTGAGGCCCTTGTGACACAGGTCGTGTCCAAGTACATTAACCACTACTTGGAGGCGGGCAAGACCGACTGGAAGGCCAAGGACACCGCTGTCTACCTCTTCTTGGCCATCGCCGCCAAGGGAGCTGTCACGGCGGCCCAGGGTGTCAAGACCGTTAACAGCTTTGTTAACGTTATTGATTTCTTCCAGCAACACATTGCGGCCGACCTAGTTGCCACCGGCGGCGAGCCTATCCCCAAGGTCGACGCCATCAAGTTCCTGTACAACTTCAGGAGTCAGCTTAGCAAGGAACAGTGGGCTGGCGCTATTAATCCTCTCATTCAGAACTTGGCTTCGCCTAACTACGTCGTTTACACATACGCGGCCACCACCTTGGAGAGAGTCTTGTTCCTTACCGATGATCAGGGACAGCATATCCTGTCGCGGGCGGACATTCAGCCGTATGCCAAGGACCTTCTACAGCATCTGTTTGCCTTGGTTGAGAAGGACACATCGGCCGCCAAGCTACAGGAAAACGAGTTCCTCATGAGGTGCATCATGAGAGTTCTGATCGTGATCAAGGACGGTGTTTTGGAATGCGACATCGATAACATTCTGGATCACCTCATTAACATCACCAATGTTATCAAGGAGAACCCCAGTAACCCCCGGTTCTACTACTTCCACTTTGAAGCTATTGGTGCAATTGTCAGGTATTGCAGCAACGCCCCTCAAGTCAACCTGCTTTCCCGCCTATGGGCACCTTTCACCTATATCCTCAATGAGGATGTCACAGAATTCGTGCCCTACGTGTTCCAGATTTTCACTCAGCTTTTGGATCTCAACAAATCTGGCTCTATCCCTGGCGACTTTAAGGCGCTCATCGATGCTGTTCTCGCCCCCGGTCCCTGGGAGACCAGGGGTAACATTCCTCCCCTTGCCAAGTTTATCGCGGCTATCATCCCGAAGGCTACCGAGGAGATTGTGAAGGAGAACAAGCTGGAGCCCATTCTCTCCATTTTCCAGAGTCTTCTGAATGGCAAGAAGACGGACCAAAACGCTTTCGATATCCTCGAATCTGTGGTTTGCTCGTTCCCTGCGTAAGTCTCAACGTCCCCTAAACTCTAATGTTCACGAGTAAGCTAACGATCGAAAAGGTCGGTTCTGGAACCCTACTTCGGCACCATCCTTACTCTCATCTTCACCAAGTTGCAGAAGAGCCCCTCAGACTCGTACAAGACTCGTGTTGCTAGCTTCTACCATCTTGTATCGGCTCGCTCCGGAGAGGCTGGGCTGGGAGCTGACTATTTCATCAAGCATGCCGAGACCATTCAGTCCGGTGTCTTCACGCCGTTTTATCTCCAAGTCATCATTCCCACCACTC